GTTCACATGTTGGCCTATTGAGTATTCACACCAAGTTTGGGCCAGATCCATTATTGTTTTCAGTCCACAGTGCTCTATAGATGTAGGTGATGTACATCTCCCAAACTCAAGATCAATACCCACCAAACCCTTCCAGTATTTTCTATTGGTCATGGGAGTTCTGTGTGCCAAGTTTGGTTCAATTCCATCGTTGTTGGAGTTCAGAATGCTCTTTGATTTTAGGTGAACTAGAAATCCGAGCAACTACAACTGCCAAATGACAAAATCAATCCAACCCCACTAGTATTCAAATCTGGGCATATTGGGTATTTGTGCCAAATTTGGTCCAGTGAATAAAATACATTCTGCATATCAAATACAACAATTGATCAGAGTTTCTGGCTGCTCCTGCAAGCCCTGCTTACTACATGAAGTACTGTATACATTCGAGTATAAGCCTAGTTTTTCAGCCCTTTTTTAGGGCTGAAAAAGCCTCCCTTGGCTTAATACTCGAGTGAAAGTACTGGCGAGAAGGTGTGGGGCCAACAGAAGCTCTTCTTTCAGCCCCACACCTTCTTGCGAGGATCTTCACCTCTCTGCACAGCAACCCAGCCCTCTCCTCTTTTGTGCACTTGCCTTCCTTCTTCTCCCTCTTTCTTGCGCACCTTCCTTCCTGTCCTCTCTCTCTCTCCTCCTCTCTCTCTCGGTGGCCCTTGCCCCCAAAATGAGAGAGTAAGGGGCACATAACCACCACCCTTCTCCTTTGCAAAGTGGGAGCTCCTCAGAAGCAGCGTCTCCCTATTAATTCCGGAGCACAATGTATGGAGTGTTGGATAGAAGGGGAGAAAGAAGAATGGAAGGGAATGGGAGAAGGAAGGAAGGAAAAGAGAGGAAAGGGTGAAGGGAGGGAGGTGGGAGAAAAGTTAGGCTAAAAGGAAAGATGGGAAAGAAGGAATGGAAGAGAAGGAAAGAAAGAAAGGAAAAAAGGAAGGAAAGCACTCTTAGCACTCTAGACCAGGGGTCCTCACACTAAGGCCCGGGGGCCAGATATGGCCCTCCAAGGTAATTTACCCTCCCCTCGCTCAGGGTCAACCTAAGTCTGAAACAACTTGAAATCACACAACAACAACAACAACAACAACAATCCTATCTCATCAGCTAAAAGCAGGCCCACGCTTCCCACTGAAATACTAATAAGTTTATATTTGTTAAAATTGTTCTTCATTTTTATTATTGTATTGCTTTTAAGTGTTTTTTTTTTTTGCACTACAAATAAGATATGTGCAGTGTGCATAGGAATTCATTCATGTTCTTGTCAAATTATAATCCGGCCCTCCAACAGTTTGAGGGACTGTGACCTGGTCCTCTGTTTAAAAAGTTTGAGGACCCCTGCTCTAGACTGAGGTCTTTTCCACTTTCCCAGCCCCACTTCCCATCCCAATCTTTCCCAGTTTCCATCACACCTCAGTCATTCCCCCTTCTACCCCAATCTGTCCTACTTTTCCAGCCACCCCTTTTCCACCTCATTTTCCCACTTTTTCAACCACACCTTCCCATTCCAACATTTTCCCGTTTCAAGTCCTTCTTTCCTGCTCCTTTTCCAAGCCAGTCTTTCCCACTTTTCCTTATTCTTGTTTTTGGTCTAAACCTCCCAGAAATCCCAGCCACTTTACCAGCTGTTAGAATTTCTGGAAGATGAAGGCCAAAAACACCTGGGTACCCCAGGTTGAGAACCACTGCCTTATTCATATACCCACAGCCTTTTACCCAAAATGTATAGCTAAAATAAACTATGGTGATTATTGGAAGGTTACATTAGATTGAAGAATAATGATTTAATGAGTTGGACAGTCTTATCTTAAATTACAGTTTTATGTAAATATTCAGAAACGTTTAACCTACTGATGCCTCAATGAATGTAATTGTATTGGTATCTATTTTAATTTTTGAAATTTCCCAGTATCTGATGCATTTCCCATCCTCGGCTTATACACGAGTTAATACGTTTTCCCAGTTTTTGGTGCTAAAATTAGGTGCCTCGGCTTATATTCAGATCGGCTTATACTTGAGTATATATGGTACATCTCACATTCTTGAACTACAAGCTAGGCTTGCATTTCCTCTCTTAATGGGAAATATTTTCATACAAACATGCAAAGTTGCTTTCAGTCCCTTTGAACAGAATACTGTATCAGTGTGCAAACCAGCTTGTGTATGCAAGAGCACTTGGGGCATGGATGTGCCATATAAGCAGCACTGCTTCAGAATACGGTTCACATGCTTGCTGAGCCAAAGATGTAATCCAATGTTTTAATGTAAAAATAAATACATACATAAACTAGCTGCTGATCTCAGGAAGCAAGTTTATTCCACAAGCTGAAGCCTCATTCTCAAAAATAGTGTGATTGTAAACATCCCAATTAAAAAATGATGGGGTTTATTGTTTCTTGAAAGACATACTGAGATACAGAGCTACTTGTGGTGTTCTGCTATTATATATCATCTGCAACAGGTTCATCTTGGCAAATCAGTACTTCAGCAAGGTGAATTTTAACTTCCATGTAATAAAAGCTTCCATTCAAATACTTCTTCTTAGAATGGAGGAGATCTGTGTCTGGTCCAATAGGTCAGAATACAAATTCTGTACAGCAAGCCCCAAAGGACAGACCCTGAATATTAAATACTTCTGTTATGGTCAAAATCACTTTTTGTTATGTACCTTGAAATTGTTTTCAATTTATAGTAACCCAAGGCAACCTTTCTTGGCAAAAATTTCTTGGAGCCGGATTGCCTTTACCTTCCTTTGAAGCTGAGAATGGGTCTTTCCACACAGCCCTATATCCCAGAATATCAAGGCAGAAAATCCCACAATATCTGCTTTTAACTGGGTTATCTGAGTCTACATTCTGGTAATGTGGGATTTTCTGCCTTGATATTCTGGGATATAGGGCTGTGTGGAAGGGCGCTGAGATAACCCAGTTCAAAGCAGATTAATTAATTAATTAATTAATTAATTACGATATTTCTATATCGCCCCTCTCAGCCTGCAGGCGACTCAGGGTGGTTAACAAGGCAACAATTCAATGCCCAACAACAGATATTGTGGGTTATTCTGTCTTGATATTCTGGGTTATAGGGCTGTGTGGAAGGGCTCTAAGTTTAACTGATGGAACAGCATTTTGTCAGAACCAAGTTACTTGAAGTTGATAAACACTTTGAACACAACCGACGTTCAATTTATCCTGTTTGTTTTTATAGCTAAATGGAATAACTGATTGACCGCTGGTCATACAGCCAACACAGATTTTCAGCCTCTTAACAACCTTTTCCCCTAAAGTTTGTTCACCATGATTCTTCAGACGTTCCATGGCATCAATAGCAGAGAGAGTAGAGGTTGGTGCTTCAAGGTTCTCCCAGAATGGACTAAGCCTGGCATGGCCAAACTTTGGCCCTCCAGGTGTTTTGGACTGGCTGTTAGGAATTATGGGAGCTGAAGTCCAAAACACCTGAAGGGACCAAGTTTGCCCATGCCAGGCTTAGTCCATTCTGGGAGAACCTTAAAGAAGCACCAACCTCTACTCTCTCTGCCATGGAGCATCTGAAGAATCATGGCGAACAAACTTTAGAGGAAAAGGTGGAGTTTGCCCATGCCCGAACTAAGCTCTTGCCTTTTGCTACTGTATTCAGAGAAGGTGATGGGTACTTTTCTGGATGATGCACAGTACTCACACTAACCTATAGATAAGTCGACACAGTTTTTTTCAATTGATTTTTTGCCAAAATTTCTAGACTTATAGATGAGTATGTAGAGCTGCCTCTTCAACTTGTGGCCCTCCAGGTGCTTTGGACTTAAGCTCCCAGAATTCCTGACTACTGAATAAATTTGCTAGGGGTTCCAGGAGTTGAAGGCCCAGACACCTGGAGGGATGCAGGTTGAAGAGGTCTGACTAGAATAAACATGCCAAATGAAAAGAGGAAGGAATCCTTCACAGGCCATGTGGATGAGAAAGAAGGGAGGAGAGGTGGATTTGTTTTTCCCACTGGCAAAACTACAGGTGTGTGGCACTTGATCCCAGCAAACCAGTAACTCAAAGTGCTGGTGATGACCTTTAAAGCCCTAGACCAGGGGTCCTCAAATTAAGGCCCGGGGGCCGGATACGACCCTCCAAGGTCATTTACCCAGCCCTCGCTCAGGGTCAACCTAAGTCTGAAACGACTTGAAAGCACACAACAACAAACCTATCTCATCAGCCAAAAGCAGGCCCACACTTCCCACTGAAATACTAATAAGTTTATATTTGTTAAAATTGTTCTTCATTTTAATTATTGTATTTTTAAGTGTTTTTGCACTACAAATAAGGTATCTGCAGTGTGCACAGGAATTCATTTTTTTCAAATTATAATCTGGCCCTCCAACAGTTTGAGGAACCTGGCCCTCTGTTTAAAAAGTTTGTGGGCCCCTGACCTAGACGGTTCAGGTCTGGGCAATTTGACTGACCAAATCCTCTTGTACGAACCTGCCCGCACCCTGAGATCTTTAGAAGAGGCCCTTCTTTCAGTCCCACCTCCACCTCAAGCTCAACTGGTGGGAACGAGAGAAAACAGGGCCTTCCTTTCTTCTCAGTGGCAAATACCCCTCAATTCTGGAAGTCCTTTTTTCTTCACAGCAAAGCCAGAATGCCCCCCCTCCCTATTGTCCATCCAGAGACGAGCTAAAACCTTCATATCTGGACAGCCTTTCAAGATGAAGGTGTTTCAGATCTCAGCAGGGGGTGCTGTGGTTTTTAACTTTGAGTATGTTTTGATGGTTTTCAACTGTGAATTTTAGTGCTGTTTGTGGTTAATTCTGTATTGATGTTTGTATATTTTAAACTGCATACTGATGCTTTTACGTCAAGCCATTTTGAGTCTCCTTTGGATATAAACGTAATAAGAATAAGAAGAATACGGATAATAATAAACCATCCTTGCCTGACCAAGGAGTCTGGAAGAGCCATTTCCAGGGCCTCCTTCCTACCCACCTTGTGGCAGCCAGGACACGTCCCCATGGAGCTTGCTGCGGGGCCACCGGGGCTCTTACTGGTGCTGGCAACGATGTTTTGGATCTTGGTGAGCTCCTGCCTCAGGACCTGCTTTTGGTGGAAGCTGAAAGCCGGGTGGTTGGAAGCCATGGTGAAGAGCAGCAGGAACTCGTCCCCGGTCCGGCCCTCGTTGAGCTGCAGCCCGTAGTTGTGGATGACCGAGTCAATGTGGGTAAGGGTGCGGAAGAGGACCCCGGCCGCCTCCCGGTGCGAGGAACCCAGCAGGGCCAGCGAGACCAGCAGCTTGCTGCGCACCACCTCATCCGTCAGGTTGGTCAGGCTGCCCAGGTCGGCCGGGTTGTTGGCCTTGATCTCCGAGTCCCGCAGCGAGTGGTAGTCCTTGCGGGCCAGGTCCTCCAGGCAGGCGCCCAGGAAACGCAGCTCCAACGGGATGCACAGGTCCAGCAGGCCGCACAGGAACTCCACCCGCTGCGGGGATGGCAGCTCCGAGAACCAGCGGTAGACGCTCTCCCTCTGCAGCCGCGGGCAGCGCTTCTCCACCATGCTGCTGGTGGTGGCGGCCGCCCGGGGGCAGCAGGAACGGGCCCTTCCCCTGGTCAGAGCGCAACCAGGAGAAGGAGGAGAAGAGAAGGAGCCGGGTGGGCTGTTAAAGCGGAGAACCTAGAAAGGGGTTATTAGGCCTTCAAGTGAAGGAGGAGGAGAGCCTCAGGGCAGGATGCTAAACAACGGGATACCATCACCCTTTGTCCCCCCAGAAGGAAGAAGCGGGGGACTAAAAAGACCGCATTGTCCCACGTCCCCTGAAAAAGGGGTGCAAGAGAGAGAGAGAGAGAGAGAGAGAGAGAGAGGAGGTGAGAGGTCAAAGGGCACGGGAGAAAGAGGTCTCACCAGATGGAGGAGACAGGAAGTGGGTCCTTAACCAGAAGGGGAGGGGACAGGAAGGGGGACCCTTAACAGGTGGGAAAAGGGTCCCTAACCAGGAGGGGACTGGGAGTGGGTCCCTAATGGAAGGGGGAGAAGAACCAGAAGGTAACTGGAAGTGGGACCCTGAACAGGAGGGGGAAGTCCCTAACCAGGAGGGGAGGGAAGTAGGGCCCTAACCAGGAGGGGAAGAGGTCCCGAATGAGATGGGGAGGGACAAGAAGTGGAGCCCTTACCTGGAGGGGGAGGAGACAGGAAGTAGGACCCTTAACAGGTGGGAAGGGGGTCCCTAAGCAGGAGGGGAGGGGACAGCAAGTAGGGCCCTAACCAGGATGGGAAGGGTCCCTAATGATGTGGAGGGACAAGAAGTGGAGTCCTTTCCTGGAGGGGGAGGAGACAGGAAGTAGGACCCTTAACAGGTGGGAAAGGGGTCCCTAACCAGGAGGGGAGGGGACAGGGAAGTAGGGCCCTAACCAGGAGGGGAAGAGGTCCCGAATGAGATGGGGAGGGACAAGAAGTGGAGCCCTTACCTGGAGGGGGAGGAGACAGGAAGTAGGACCCTTAACAGGTGGGAAAGGGGTCCCTAAGCAGGAGGGGACAGGAAGTGGGCTCCTAACCTTGAAGGGGAGAGGATCCCTAGTCAGGATGGGGGGGGGGGAAGACAGGAAGTGCTTCCCTAACCAGAAGGAAACCGGAAGTGGGACCCTTAACAGGAGGGGGAGGAGGTCCCTAACCAGGAGGGGAGGGGACAGGAAGTGGTTCCCTAACCTTGAAGGGGGGGGGATCCCTGACCAGGAGGGAAACAGGAAGTGGGGCCCTTAACAGGAGGGGGAGGGGCAGGAAGTGGTTTCCTAACCAGGAGGGGAGGGGGCAGGAAGTGGGGGGCCTAAAAAGGAGGGGGAAGGGTCCCCAATTAGGTGGGGAGGGGCAGGAAGAGAAGGCCTTACCAGGAGGGGGAGGGGACAGGAAGTGTGGCCCTTAACAGGAGGGGAGGGGGGGCAGCCCCGGAGGCCCGTCTTTGGCGGGAGAGGCGCTTCTCCTGGCCTGCCCTCTGGGCCCAAGCAAGCACCATTCCCCGCCTCTCCTCCTCCTCCTCCTCCTCACGGGGCGGCCGCTCTTGCTCGTGCTCCTCCGCGCGCTCCTCTCCTCCTCCGCCTCAGCCTCAGCCGGGCTCCCTCCATCGCCTCGCTGCTTTCCACTCCTAGGTTCCAATCCGCCAAATAGTCCCGGCGGCGGAAGGTCACCGGCGGAGGGGCGCGTCACCGCTGCCTCGCTCCCTTTCTTCCTATGGAGATTCCAGCGGCGGAGGGATCCCACTCGGCGCCTCAGCCGGTGACGCGGCCCGGCCGGCGAGCAGAGCGAGAGCAGCGCGAAGGATGGATGGATGGCGCTTGAGTGACTGACTGGCTCCTCCCCCCTCAGGCCCCGCCCCTTCTTCCCCGCCGCGCTTCTTCATTGGTCGACGCTTCCCCTCCCTCCTCCCCCCTCCCACCCCAATAATGGACAGCCGCTCCTGTCAATCAGCTTTTCTCCGCGCAAAAGGAAAAAAAAACCCAAAGGGGGCGTGGCGTTGAGAAGAGAAAACGCGCTGGACCGTCTCAGGAAGGGAGGGGGGGTTCGAAGAGAGCGCTGGTTGCCTAGCAACGGAGAGAGGAGAATGAGGAAGAAGGGGAGGTGGTGAGCGTTGCTAAGCGACCCCTCCCTTATCTCTCGTTGCTTAGCAACGCTTGGAAACGGGCCTAGTCTCTGAAGGGAGGCCAGGCAGGCCTGAGATGGAAAGGGAAACACTGCTTATTACTATAATATATATTATTACGCTCACATTTTTGTTATTTTGAATTATTATTATTATTATTATTATATATAATTATTATTAGACACAGAAGTGCTGGACCACTCTCACAACCACCATGTCAGACAACACAGAGAAGCCACTGAAATCCACAAGCATGTGGACAATTTCAACAGAAAGGAAGAAACCATGAAAACGAACAAAATCTGGCTACCAGTATTAAAAAACTCAAAAATTACAGCAAATTACAGCAAAACAACAGAGGGGAAACAAACAGGCACATAAAATCACTCTCAACAAAAGATTCCCCCCAGGCACTTCCAAGCCATTGAATGCTAATCAAGGTGATCAGCTGAAACATTCACACCTAGCCCCAGCAGACAAAAGTCCTTTGTCTCACCCTGGTCATTCCACAGATATATAAACCCATTTTTCCTACTTCCAACAGACCTCACTACCTCTGAGGATGCTTGCCATAGATGCAGGCGAAACGTCAGGAGAAAAATTGCCTCCAGAACATGGCCATATAGCCCGGAAAAACCTACAACAACCCATTATTATTATTATTATTATTATTATTATTCGGATTCAAACGGCATTATATTTATTTATTTACTGTATTTGCATACTGTATTATATAACAGTATTGATGGCTGTACTCTATGGGTCTACACTCACATTATTATTATTATTCAGATTCAAACTGCATTATACGGCAGTGTAGATAACTACTCTATGAGTCTACTCTCTATTATTATTATTCAGATACAAACTACATTATATGTCAGTGTGGATGGGTACACTCTATGAGTCTACACTCACATTATTATTACTGGGATTGTGGCGCAGCTGGCTGTCAGCTGCATTAAGATCACTCTGACCAAAAGGTCATGAGTTCGAAGCCAGCCCGGGTTGGAGTGGGTTTCCAACCAATTGTGTGTAGCCTGTTGTCGACCTTTGCAACCCAAAAGACAGTTGCATCTGTCAAGTAGGAGAATTAGGTACCACCTTAAAGTGTGGGGAGGCTAAAATTAACTAAAGAAGACTCCAGCGGGGAAGCATGCGGGGAATGCGGAAGTACTTCATCAGCGTTGCAGATGGACGATGAAAGCGACAGCTCCCCTGGCGGCCAGAAAAAGTTAAATAGCCTCTGTGTATGTCTGTATATGTTTGTATGTCAAAAATTGGCATTGAATGTTTGCCATATATGTGTACACTGTAATCCGCCCTAAGTCCCCTGCGGGGTGAGATGGGCGGAATATAAAAGCTGTAAATAAATAAATATAAATACATTATTCAGATTTAAACTGCATTATACGGCAGTGTAGATAACTACTCTGTGAGTCTACACTCTATTATTATTCAGATACAAATTATTCAGAATTAGCTTTTTTGTTCCAGTTCTGAATATTTTCATCCCATTGGTGGCCTGAAAGCCATGCACACACTCTTTCCAGCGTGGCTGAGGCTGTAATACACCTTGGTGTTGGCGTCCGAATTAAGGTCTGTGCCCAAAAGTTGGCACAAGGAGCTGCCTACAGTCATGTCTTCTTACATCCGGACTCTGTATTTGCTTTGGCCGAAAGTGGGGGCATCGTCATTCTCACCCTGAATGTGGATTTGGACCCGGAGCCAGCCACTGTGCCTACCAGGGCCTACAGCTAAACACCGAGGGTCTCTTACTCCTTGGAAAGAGAGTGCATGTGTGGCTTCCAGGCCCAAAGCACCAGCGCCTGCCAGGGTCTGCAGCCAAGTGTTGAAAATGAGGCAACCAAATGGTTACTGTTCCCACTTTGATTTCCCTGATATTTTCGTACCAGAAGGGGGTGTACCGTTTTGTGCCATCGGAATGAAATAAAAGGTACGAAAACACAAATTAAATGGCTGAAACGGTTACCAGGCCTATGATTAATTATTAGTAGTAGTATTATTATTCGGATTCAAACTGCATTATATGGCAGTATAGATGGCTTCACTCTATGAGTCTAATCTGACATTATTATTAGCATGCAGATTTCAAACTGCATTATATGGCAATGCGGGTAACCACTATATGGATCTACCACACTGACATTGTTATTATTATTATTATTATTATTTGAAACACAACAAGATTAGTACACAGCAAACAAGATCACTCTGCTGGCTGTTGTATTGGATCACATGTGAGACACTTCCCAAATGCCTAGGTATCAGCGTGATGTATCAGCGAATAATGTGCGCAGATCCAAGTAGAGTGGCCTCTTGCAGCTGACAAATGGTAATTTTGTCGGCGCTGATTGTTTTTATGTGCAAGCCAAGGTCTTTAGATACTGTACCCGGTATGCCGATCACAACTGGGACCACCTTAACAGGCGTGTGCCAGAGTCTTTGTACTTTGATCTTTACATCCTCATACCTTGTCAGCTTTTCCAGTTGTTCCTCTTCAGTCCTGCTGTCACCTAGGATTGCAACATCGACGATCCATACTTTGTTTTTTTTAACACGATTGTGAGGTCAGGAGTATTGTGCTCCAAAACTCCTTTAGTCCGGATTCGGAAGTCCCAGAGTAGTTTGACATGTTCATTTTCTGTAACTTTTTCAGGCTTGTGATCCTATCAGTTTCTTGTCACAGGCAGATGGTATTTGTGGCACAGGTTCCAATGATCATTTGAGCAATGATGTTGTGCCACTGCTTGTAGTCTGTCTGTGTGATCTTCTTGCAGCAGCTGAGAATATGATCTATCGTTTCGTCTGCTTACTTGCAGAGTCTACACTTGAGATCTGTCCCCAACTTTTCAATTCTAGCTTTGATGGCATTGGTCTAATGGCTTGTTCTTGGGCTGCAAGAATCAGGCCCCCCGTCTCCTTTTCCCAAGTTGCATTTGTGAGCCACATTTATGTTTTTTCATTGTCCATTTTGCTCTCGTTTCCCTCGAACTGTCCATGGAGAGCCTTCTTTGGCCAGTTTTCTCTTCTGCTCTGCATTGTATTTTTATGGTTTTCCCTGTCTATTGCACTTCAAGCAATTTTCTACTATTGACTTCCCTCAATGTTGGTTCTTGGCTGCCTTTCCCATCATCTGCCAGTGCATGTTTCTCTTCTTCTACCATTTGTTTCACTTGCAGAAGCCCTCTTTCTGCCTCCTGATTTTCTGGGCAGTTCAAGCCTGTCAACGTCACTACGCAGGCGTAATGAGTAGCGGATCGTCATTGGTTTTCTTGCTTTTCCAGCTTGTGTCCAGTTCACAATTCCAGCAGTGTATCTGATGAAAAGAATGGCCCAGGTATTGATAGCTTTGATCTTATTTCCACCTTTTAA